GTCTTCCCGGCAGCTTGCAGATCCCCCTTTCACCCAGCAGGTTAATTTGAGCTTCACATCTGGCTTGCACGTGGGTGCCTAGGGGAGGCATGGCTGCCACAGGGCTTATAGGAGAACCAGCCAATTCTCCCTCCTAGAGAGAGAGAAACCAGGACAGAAGAAGAGCGTCTTGGTGAAGGCTCAGCCATCTTTAAATGTCTTAAGAATTTTTTTGGAAGGGAAAGAGTGTTTATCTCTCCCAATAGACTGCATCAACCTTAAAGGTAGGAACCATGTATATCTTCAACCCAGTACCATCAACATCTTGTACCCAGTGGGCACAATAAATGACATCCTTCCAATTCAAGCTTTCCATGCATGTGCCTAACTCCAAGAGGGATCCCCTGTCAAGACTTGTATGATTGAAATCTGAGAGCCTAGGGATACTCACTGGATCCTTGGTGAGGACAACACAGGAAACCTGAGAGGCCAGTATCAAAAGACCTTAAATCAGAAATAAACAAACAGGCCAGGTGCAGTGGCTCACACCTATAATCTCAACACTTTGGGAGTCTGAGGCGGGTGGATTACTTGAGGTCAGGAGTTTGAGACCAGCCTAACATGTGAAACACCGTCTTTACGAAAAAATACAAAAATTAGCCAGGCGTGGTGATGGGCGCCTGTAATCCCAGCTACTCAGGAGGCTGAGGCGGGAGAATCACTTAAACCCGGGAAGCGGAAGTTGGAGTGAGCCAAGATTGCGCCACTGCACTCCAGCCTGGGCAAGAGAGCAAGGCTCCGTCTCAGAACAAACACACACCATTTTCAAAAGAGAAAAAAGGATAAATTTCTGAATCCTAAGGTCTCACCACCGGAAGCCTGTATCTTTACAATTCAACAATCAGCCTGGCCCCCAGAGATGACGGGGGTTCATCCATCCAGATGAGAAAATGAAGAAGGTGGCAGGATTTTGTAGGAATAGGAGGCTCCTTGGGGCTCATGCCCAGCCACAGGCTGCCACAGCACGGAAAGGAAAAGTGAAACCAATTCCATCAAGTCATTTTTCACTCTAGGATTGTCAAAAGCTTTACATTCATCTCTTGGGATCCCAGGAGAGCGATCTGCTGAGAAAGAATTTGGATCGGAGCCAGCAGAACTCCAGAAGCCTTGGCTGCTGCGAAAGGGGATTCAACACCTTCCAGGGTCGTTCTCACTTCATTTCCAGCCAGACCCCCTTTGGTGCTGTTTCCCAAGTAATCAGACCTCAGGGGCTGCCTCCTAACGGGGAAAGGAAAGCTTACCTTGCTGGAGAAGGGGCTCAAGTCACAGGACTTGCCTAGGACTTGCCTAGGACTTGCAGGAGGCTCTTTGTCTACTCCTCTATCCCCATCCAAGTAAGAGGAGCGGGGAATTCCGGGGCTGTAACTGCGTGGGAAACGCCAGCCATGGAGCTGCTGAGGATCAGACTCCTGGGTTTCAGCATGGAGGCCAGGGAAGGGTCTGATAAACGGGTATGGGTCTTGGCGAGAAGCGAGTGGAGAAAGACCTTGGAGTGGGACGGGGCCCCAGCTCTGGGGGCAGTTCCGAGGCTCCCAGGAAACCGGCGAGTGGGGAGGGGCTGCTAAAGAGGGGCTCCCTGCGAGAGAATGCGTTCACCAGCTGTGAGGACCCGGCTTGCGCAGGAACTTCCAAGGACCTCACATTTGGTTGGTGTAGGGACGACCAGTGGTAAGGGGGCTGCAGAAAGGGCCTGCAGGGGCTGTGCGTGATGCCTTCAGAGCTGTGTATGACACTGAGTCAGGGGCGGTGACCCGCGTCTGGAGGTGGAAGGGGAGGTGAGTGGGATGGTTGTGAGGTTTAGGAATGTGTTGGAAAGAGAGATTCCCGCCAGGTAAAAGGTCTGATAAAATAGGTTTGGAAATCTGGATAGTGGGGAAAGGATGAGGGAGCAGGTGGCTCCGCGTGCGCGCTGCGTGTTCAGCCGCCAGGCTCTTACCTGCATTACAGGTGGAGGTGAGGAAGCCACCGGCTTTCTGTCGTGAGCGCTTCCCCGGCTGTGGCTGCTGGGGCCCTAGGCCCGCGCTCCTAGTCCTCCTCCCCCAAACCCCTAACCTGGCTCCGAGAACTGGAAGGTCGCGTGGGAGGAAATGTCTTTCGAGAAGCGCCAAGGCGTGTGCGCCCGGGTCCCCCGCAGGCGGGCAGGGGCGCCAGGCGCTCCGGTAATCGCTATCCTTCCGGGAAACGAAAACGAAAGAGCGGGATGCGGTTCCACTCGCGCCGCTGCGGGCTAGGGGCAGGGCAGGGGCCCGCCCCGCGCGAGCGCAACCCCGGGGCGCTTCCCGCTCGCCAGCCTGGGAGGCGTGGGTCCTGCACACAGCCTCCTGCCGGTGGACAGCCCCTCTGGCGACCAGGCCTTGGCTCCCACTGGGGCAGAGGTGGGATTCTGCAGGATCTGAGGAGCTAAGGGGACCCCTAGTCCTGAACTCGGGACCAGCTGCCTCTCTTATGGTCCCGAGCCCAGGAGCAAGACCCTGTGAGTCTCCGCACATGGGATGGGAAGGGGCCGCCCATGGGGTGTTCCTGGGCCTGGTGCCTCTCCGTTTAGGGGTGGGTGACCTTCCCGGCCCCGATAGATACTGTCTCGGTCTGCTGTTTGGCCCCGCGGAGGCCCCACAGGTCCGGAACCGTAGCGCCACCATCAGAGCGGCTGTGCTCTCCTGAGCGGGACCAGACTACTCCGAGATCCCGACTGACACCTTTTCCTGGGCCTCTGAGTGCTCCAGAGTTGGTGCCTGGCCACCCATCACCCTTTCCATCTGTCTCAGCTCCCCCTGTCTCAAGAGAGGTTGTGCGCATAAAAACAAACCAGCAGACACTGAAGAAAAGGAAAGAAAAGCATTAACAACCTTCTGCTGAAAATCTGACGGTGTAGATGCTGTTACAAAGTAGGCTTAGCGCTGATATATTATCACCAGCTCTAGGCCAGCAATAAGAAACCAGTAAGAACAAGGCCAGAAACCCAGTAGAAAAAAAATGAGCAAAGGATATGAATAAACAGTCCACATAAAAGGAAATGCCAAGTGGCTCCTGAATATGCGAAAAGATGCCCAGGGCGCAGTGGGTCATGCCTGTAATCCCAGCACTTTGGGAGGCCAAGGTGGAAGGATCGCTTGAGCCCAGGAGTTGGACACCAGTCTGGACAACATGGTGAGATCCTGTCTTTACCAAAAATTTTAAAAATTAGCTGGGCTTGGTGGGGCTACACCTGTAGCCCCAGCTATTCAGGAGGCTGAGGTTGGAAGATCGCTTGAGCCTGAGAGTTGGAGGCTGCAGTGAGCCGTGATTGTGCCACTGCACTCCACCCTGGGCAGCAGAGAAAGAAAAAGATGCTCAGACGAACTCACTATTTCCAATGTGCAAATTAAAGTTATTCTGAGACAAAAATTTTTACCCATAAATTTGGCAAAAATTTAAAAGTTTAATAACATAATCTGCTGGAGAGGCTGAGAGGAACAGCCTCTGGGAGTGTAAAGTGGTGCAACCCCACGGCAAGGTCTGGCAAAGTTACAAATGCATTTTCCTTTCACCCAGCAATCTGCCCACCAGAAATTTATTCAACAAATATCCAAAGTATACGTAGTTACATATTTCATTATGGTTTATAATAGCAAAGTATGAGAAATAACTCAAGGTGTCCATAAAAGGAGGCTTGATAAAGTAATGTGCATTCATTTGTTTTAATTTTAATTTTCCTTTTTTTTTTTTTTTTTAGAGACAGGGTCTCACTCTATCACCCAGGCTGGAGTGCAGTGGTGCCATCAAAGCTCACCTTAACCTTCAACTCCTGGGCTCCAGTGATCTCCCACCTCAGCTCCCAAAGCACTGGGATTACAGATGTGAGCCACCACACCCAGCCAAATTATGTACATTCATTTAACTGAATACAGTTCAACACTTTATGGAGTTCTCTGTGGATCATGGCAAGCTCTCCAAGAGGCAGTATGGCATAGTGGATAATAATCTAGACTTAGGAACACCTGCCTGGTTTGGAATCCCAACCATGTCATTTACTGGCTGTGTGCCCTTGAGCAAGTTTGTTAACCCCTCTACTGCCTCCCTCTACTAACTACTGCCTCAATTTTTTAACAGTGAAAAAGAGCAAATAATAATACCTGTCTCATAAGGTTGTTATGAATAAGTAAGTTAACATTTGTAAAACACCCAGAACAGTGCCTGACCACCCATGCTAAGTAAAAAAATCAAGGTACGAAACAGTGTGTATTACTACCTCTTGTATGTAAATATATGTGTGTGTATATGTGTGTGTGTGTGTATGTATGTATTAACTAGTGTTTATACAAAGAACCTCTGGAAGAATACATAAAAACTAAAAAGCATAACTGGAATTTAGAGTAGAAAATAAGAGAAAGGGTTTTTGTTGTAAACCTTTTCATATTGTTGTGATTTTTTTTTCCCCTAAGACAGAGTCTTGCTCTGTCGCCAGGCTGGAGTGCAGTGGCATCACTTTGGCTCACTACAACCTCCGCCTCCTGGGTTCAAGCAGTTCTCCTGCCTCAGCCTCCTGAGTAGGTGGGACTACAGGCACGTGCCACCGCGCCCAACTAATTTTTGTATTTTTAGTAGAGACGGGGTTTCACCATGTTGGCCACGATGGTCTTGATCTCGTGACCTTGTGATCTGCCCACCTCGGCCTCCCAAAGTGCTGGGATTACAGGCGTGAGCCACTGTGCCCGGCCTTGTTTTGACTTTTGAATCATATAAATAAAAACCTATTCAAAATACATTTTAAAAAGAAAGTTTTAGGGCTAGTCTGCCAGAACCTAAGTAATAATAGAAATAAATAGGCACTGCCTGAGACAGACTAAAAATGGAGACATTTCCCTTTGGAAGGACAAAGTTGATGGTATGTATAATCAAAGTCTACAAACCAATATGAGCAGGAATAAGTGGCTAGACCCTGCCATGGGGTTCCTCCTTCAAGAAAGAAATATGCACAGGGGTTTCATGCTCAATAAAATAACAATATTTATTTCTGTTTTAGAATTTTTAAAAATAACACTACTATGAAGAGCTCAAGATACATAAACTTTTAATTTATAACAACAAACCTTCTTAATATTTATAATTATTTTAAAGGAGGGGAGAGAGGGACTATGAGGTAGACAAAACGTAAAAGGAGAAGAATGGAGGTGAAAGAACTGCGTCAGAGCGTGCAGGAGAGAATGAGTGAAATACATTCAACAGGCAAAGGGCCCACCAACCAATAACAGCAAAACCATCCAGCAATAGGAACAGAGAAGTTTTTGCCTTGTGATGGATTCATAACTCTGTCAGGTCTTACACTCTTCTAGAAGGCAGGACTGTTGGCTAAGGACTAAGCACTCCCAATTTTAAGCAGGCAAGCCTAAAAGAGGATGGCAGAGCAGGGAAAGACACCTTGGAGCAGGGTTGAGTGGTATGGGAAAACACTGGAGTGCTGAAGGAAGACCTGAAGGGGGTCACAGAGGAGTAAGAGGATCAAAGGTGAGACAAGAACGTAAATGTTGTAGAATCAGAGCCTGAGAAGGAAACACCCAACGGTGCTAGTGGTAGTCGTGGGGCCTCTAGGCATGGAAATGGGAAGGTAGATGAGATGGACCATATGTTGGATTTGAGTATTAGAGACAAATGTTTCACTTCGATTTTCCAGAGAGAGTTGGGGCCAGGACTGGGGCAGGGAGGTGACATGTCACTGAGAAGGAGAAGCTGTCACTGCAGATCTGGACATGAGTAACGAGAGTGGAGCCAACAGGTCACCAGAGGGCATGGTGCCCAGGGAGTGGCCCAGGAGAAAGTGCCCATTTCTGTGATCTTTAGTTTGTGGACGAGATTCTCTTTCATTCCTGGAAGGAAATGTTCAAGGTTTCCTCACAAGGAGCCCTGGGACCATCCACAGCACTGGCATTTTCTGGGCAGCAAGGCTTCCTGGGGTTTACTCCTTGGGCTTTATCATGACGTGATTGCAGACATCTCATAGCTAGTTCCTCCGAAGAGACAAATGGCTCGTGAGCCTGCAGTTCTTCAACAAACCAGGTGTAGACCAACAGTGATGGGAGACGAAGAAGGTTGTTCTTCCTGTCTGTCCCAGTGGGATTCATGTTTCTCAGAGGGTAAAAAGAAAGCAGAACTTGACCTTTACTTTCCTTTTACAGCAAATGGTTGTTCCAGAAAAAATGCAACAACACCTGAACTCTTCTAAAGAAAAAGAAGACAAAACCATCTAGTGCATCTATGCCATCCTGTTGAAGATCCTATTTGAAAAAAAGAGAGACAGAAAGGTTTTATTTTTAAGTGATAGAATAATCCAAAGTTAAAAATTCAACACAATGGAAAATAGTAATTCAATCCATGCTGCAAACAAGCTTCTTGGGTTGCTTTATGAATAGTATGAGCTGAAGGACAGCACCTTCCATATGGCCATATCCTCACATCGCCTTGGAAGTTTGCCTCTGGACATATTTTCCTATCTGACCATCTTTCCCATCTGGCTTCAAACTTCTGGGCTCAAGAGATTCTCCCACCTCGGCCTCCCCAGTATCTAGGACCACAAATGCATGCCATCACATCTGGCTAATTTTAAAAAATATTTTGTGCAGACAGGGTCTCACTATGTTGCCTAGGCTGGTCTCAACAAATTGGGGCTCATCAGCAAACTGGGACACCCTTTTCAGGGCTGATAACCTATTCCCCTGGCTTCCCAAAACACTTTCTTAGTCCTCTCAAAGGGGTAAGCAAATTTGCCTTGAGGCTAGAAGAATGGAGAGAAGACTGGGCATGGTGGCTCCCGCCTGTAGTCCCAGCACTTTGGGAGGCCAAGGCAGGTGAATGGCTTGAGCTCAGGAGTTTGAGACCAGCCTGGGCAACATGGCGAAACCTCATTTCTAGAAAAAATTAGCCAGGCATAGTGGCACACACCTGTAGTCCCAGCTACTCAGGAGGCTGAGTGGGGAGGATCACCTGTGCCTGGGAGGTCGAGGCTGCAGTGAGCTGTGATTGTGCACAGCACTCCAGCCTGGGTAACAGAGGGAGATCATGTCTCAATAATAATAATAATAATAATAATAATAATAATAACCGTAAATAATGTCTAGGACTTAGATGGGCAAAGAGGTGAGGTGAATATTAAGTACTTTGGAGCAGAAAGTAACAACTGTTTATGTCAGAACATCAGAAAAAGACTGTGGGTCAGACACAAATGCTCCCCCTGCCTGCCCCCTGCAGTCTGTTCTCAGCACAGCTCCCTCTGTGGACTGTTGAAATGTGGTTCCTCGGCTCAGTGCCCTCCAATGGCGCCACCTCACTAGAAAAAAAGCCCTTGTAGTGACCTCAAGGCCCTACCTAATCTGCCCACCACCCACCCCTGACCATACACAGATAGATAGATAGATAGATAGATAGATAGATAGATAGATAGATTGATTGATTTTTTTTTTTCAGATGGATTTTCACTCTTGCAGCCCAGGCTGGAGTGCAATGGCGCACTCTCGCTCACCACAACCTCCACCTCCCAGGTTCAAGTGATTCTCCTGCCTCAGCCTCCTGTGTAGCCAGGATTACAGGAATGAACCACCAAGCCCAGCTAATTTTTTTTTGTATTTTTAGTAGAGACAGGGTTTTTCCATGTTGGTCAGGCTAGTCTAGAACTCCCAACCTCAGGTGATCCGCCCTCCTCGGCCTCCCAAAGTGCCAGGATTACAGGCGTGAGCCACCATGCCCGGCCCTGACCATATCTTTTATGACTTTCTCCCTCACTCAGCTTCAGCCACACTGGCCTCCTTGCCATTCTTCAAACACATGAGATGCATTCCTGCCCCAGGGGCTTTGCTGTCCTCCTGCCTCCAATCCTCTGCCTCCTCCCCGATACCCACAGCTCAGTCCCATGCTTCTTTCAAGGTTTTCCTCAGAAGTCACCTTCTTTATGGCTCACGCCTGTGAGCACTTTGGGAGGCCGAGGCTGGTGGATCACTTGAGCCCAGGAGTTTGAGACCAGCCTGGCTAACATGGTGAAACACCCCTGTACTAAAAATACAAAAATAGCCGGTGTGGTGGCATGCCTATAATCCCAGCTACTCGGGAGGCTGAGGCATGATAATTGCTTGCACCTGGGAGGCAGAGGTTGCAGTGATGACTTTGTTCCACGGCATTCCAGCCTGGATGACAGAGTGAGACTGTCTCAAAATAAAATAAATAAAATAAAATAAAATAAAATAAAGTCACCTTCTCAGTGAGGCCTTCCCTTAACATCTCTACTTAAAATTGCAAACCCCAACACTCCTTATCCCTTTCCTTGCTTTACTTTTCTCCAAAGCATGTATCACTATCTGATAAACTACCTACTTTATTTGTGTAGCTACTGTTTGTCTCCCTTACAAACTCTGTGAGATCAGGAATATTGTCTCTTTGATCACTCCCATAACTCCAGTACTTAAACAGAGCCTGACATACAGTAGGTGCTCGATAAAAGTTGAAGAAATGAATGGAGAAAGGAATGGAAAACCATTAGCAGTAGGCTAAGGAACTTAGACTTTGTCCTGCTAGTAACTGAAAATCAATAAATGTTTTTCTCCCCCTCTTATAGTTGATATCAGCTAGGAAAATGGAATGAGTTTCCTTTCAGCATGGCAGACAAGAAAAAGTATAGAACACTGAGTCAGATGCTCATATATTTAAATTCCAGTCTTGTCACTTAGAAGCTAAGTGCCCTTTGATAAGTTTTGTAATCGCTCTGAAACTCCACTGCTTCTCCTGAAATACCTGTGACAGCAGTTCATAGGGTTACTGGGAGAATGAAATGAAACATGAAAAAGTGTCTCAAATAGTACTTGGAAAAAAATTTAATAAATGTTTGTTTCCCTCCCTTCCTCCCAACAAACTGAGAAATTCCCTATGCATTATGACATCAGTCAGATTCCCAGAGGAAACAGATGGCACACCCAAATTAGGCTAATTCAAGGTGAGTTAAATAGAGAGACTCTACAAAGGTGTGGAGAAACCACAGAGGATGGGGCAGTACCCAGACCCAGTGACAACAGAGTTGTCACCACTCCTAGGGGCGTAAGGACAGGGAGGGAGCAGTTTCCAGAACCCAGAAGGAGAGAAAAATTTCGAAGGCATATTTAAAATTCTAAAAGTGATGAGAAGCCTAACTATTTTAAAACATGCTTTATATCTAGAAAAAGTATATGTCCCGGGCTTAAAAAAAAAAAAAAAAAAAAAAACTGGATTAAAAAAAACATACTTGAACCCAAACCCCACACAACTCAATGGTAAAATAGAGATTTTTTTTTTTCTTTTTCAGATTCAGGGTCTCTCTTTGTCACCCATGTTGAAGTGCAGTGACACAATCATAGCTCACTAAGGCCTCGAATTCCTGGGCTCAAGCAATCCTCCCACCTCAGCCTCCCAAGTAGCTGGACTACAGGCACACACCACCGCACCTGGCTAATTTTTCAAAAAATTGTTTTGTAGAGACAGGGTCTCACTATGTTGCCCAGGCTGGTCTCAAACTCCTGGCCTCAGCCTCCTAACGTGCTGGGATTACAGGTGTGAGCCACTGTGCCCAGCCTAAAAGATGTTATTTTGAGAAACACAGAACACTTTTGAAAAAAAGCACTTGGCCGGGCGCGGTGGCTCAAGCCTGTAATCCCAGCACTTTGGGAGGCCGAGACGGGCGGATCACGAGTTCAGGAGATCGAGACCATCCTGGCTAACACGGTGAAACCCGTCTCTACTAAAATACAAAAAAAATTAGCCGGGCGAGGTGGCGGCGCCTGTACTCCCAGCTACTCGGGAGGCTGAGGCAGGAGAATGGCGTGAACCCGGGAGGCGGGGCTTGCAGTGAGCTGAGATCCGGCCACTGCACTCCAGCCTGGGCAACAGAGCTAGACTCCGTCTCAAAAAAAAAAAAAAAAGAAAAAGAGCACTTGCTTAAGTAAAAAGAACAAGAGAGGAAAACTTTGGCAGCTCAACAACAATCCATTCAGCATATAAAAATATAACTTGATGAGCTGCTTGATAGGCAGTTCCAAGAGCAAGAATAAAAGTTTCTTTAAATACATCAGTGGCAGGAAGGCATCTAGAGAATCGATGTGACTGCTTGATTAAACAGAGTACAAAAGGTAAATAAATGATGACTATATATGAAAGAAAGTTACCATGCCAGACTTGAAATTCTGTTAATTTCCTTGATTTGAACTTCGAAGCAGCAAAGCCTTTAGCACTTCAGAGCCAAACTTAGAAGGATTTTTTTTTTTTTTTTTTTTTGAGACAGGGTCTCACTCTGTTACCCAGGCTGGAGTGCAGTGGCACTATCACAGCTTATTGCAGCCTTGACCTCATAGGCTCAAGTGATCCTCCCACCTCAGCCTCCCGAGTAGCTGGGACTGTGGCCACCACACTCGGCTGGAATTTTTCAAACTATTATTTTTTAAATGTGTTGTGGTCTTTTTAAAGGTGTTCTAGGCTGAGCGCAGTGGCTCATGCCTGTAATCCTAGCACTTTGGGAGGCCGACGCAGAGATTGCTTGAGCCCAGGAGTTTGAGACCAGGCTGGGCAACGTGACGAAATTGTGTCTCTACAAAATAAATACAAAAAAATTAGCCAGGTGTGGTGGTGGGCAACTTTGGTCCCAGCTACTCTGGAGGCCTAGGTGGGAGGATTCCTTGAACCTGGGAAGTTGAGGCTACAGTGAGATAGTGCCACTGCACTCCAAATTGGGCAACAGAGTGGGACCCTGTCAAAAAAACAACAACAAAAAAGGTATTCTAAAGTGCAAGTTTATAGGTTTATAGTACAGAACAAATGTCTAGGTCAAAACCAGCTTTGTAAAGTTCTGCAAGAAAAGCTGGAGCAGGCATAAGGATAGCTATACAGATCAGTGGAACAGAACTGAGAGTACAGAAAGAAACTCTCATATTTACAGCCCATTGGTTTTCAACAAGGGTGCCAATGATGGCAATGGCTGCTGCCCTCATACTGGCTGCAGCAGGAAGGTGCAGCTTGGGCCGCATGCTCCATGGAGCCAGTGGGAGCCCCACCTCTTCTGAGTTGGGGCAGGAGCTCCCTGGGTGACACTCTGGCCACCCTCCCAGTTGCAGGACCCAGGCATCTCTGCAGCCTGCACCCTTGGGGGCCCCAGAAAGGACATACCCCTACCCCTGAAGGCTCAGGGGTGTCTGTTCCCACTGCCTGGCCTCTCTCTGCTCCCAGAGCCTGCTCCAATCTCTGAGTAGGGGTGGGGGCCAAGTCCCTCATGGTGCCAGAGGCAGATTGATTCCTGGGTGGAAGGGAGTGGGTCCCCAGTGAGACCCCACCTTCAGGTCAGAGAGGGTCTAAAGGCTGGGGGCTAGGCTACCAGTCCTGTGGACCAGAGTGGGTACTGGTGTTGCCCCTTCCAGACCCACCCATGGCCACCCATGGACCAATCAGCATGCACTGCCTCCCCTCTGAGGTCCATAAAAGCCCTGGGCTCAGCCAGAGCAGGGCAGATGACGTCCTCAGGACAAAGAGGGTAGAGAGACAATGGGATGATCAGCTGCAGAGAGAAGCTACCCTCTCTGCTGATAGCTGGAGATGAGGCAACAACAAGTTGCAGAGAGGAACTGCCCTCTCTGCTAACAGCTGCAGAGATGACCTGCTGGCAGAGAGGAGCCACCCTCTCTAGGGCCGCCTCTCCACTGAGAGCTGCAGACATTGGGAGGACTAGTTGCAAAGAGGAGCTACTCTCTCCAGGGCCTCCTCTCTGCTGAGAACTGAACACTCAATGGATAACCTGCCTACAGAGAGGAGCTACCCACTGCGAATCTCCTCTGAGCTGTTGTAACACTCAATAAAGCTCATCTTTGTCTTGTTTACCCTTCACTTGTCTGCATACCTCATTCTTCCTGGATGCAGGACAAGAACTTGGGGAAAAGATGCCATGGCCACAGAGATTTCCGGCCAGAAAATTGACACCCCAAAGATCCCATAACACCAAAACAATTTATAGGGAAACAATCGTCTTTTCAACAAATGGTACTCCAGACACAGTGAGATGTACCTATAGTCCCAGCTACTCGGGAGGTTGAGGTGGGAGGATCTCTTGAGTCCAGGAGTTTGAGGCCAGTCTGGGCAGCATAACAAGACCCCGTCTCAAACAAATAAACAAACAACAACAAAATCCAAATGATGTTGGGACAACAGGATATCCATATGCAAAAAAAGGAAGACAGACTCTTAACTAAAATGTATGCAAAAATTAATTTCAAATGGATCAAAGACCTAAATTTAACAACTAAAACTAAAAAGCCTTTAGAAGAAAACATAAATGTGACACCGAAAGCAAAAGCACTAGCAACAAAAAGAAAAGTAGATAAATTGAACTTCATCAAAATTTAAAACTTTTGTACTTCAAAGAACGCTATCAATAAAGTAAAAGGACAACCTACGGAATGGGATATAATATTTGCAAATCATATATCTGATAAGAAACTTACATCCAGAATATACAAATGACTCCTAGGCCAAGGCAGGAAGATCATTTGAGCCCAGGAATCCAGGACCAGCCTGGACAACATAGTGAGGCCCTGTCTCTACAAAAAAATAAAATAAAATAAAAATTAAAAAATTAGCCAGGTGTGGTGGCACGTGCCTGTGGTCCCAGCAACTCAGGAGGCTGAGGTGGGAGGATCAATTGAACCCAGGAGTTCAAGGCTGTGTGAGCTATGGTCACAGCACTGCACTCCAGACTAGGCAACAGAGCAAGAACCTGCCTCAAAAAAAAAAAAAAAAAAGACTCATATAATGATAAAAAGATAAGTAGTCAATTAAAATGGGCAAGGATATGAATAGACATTTCTTCAAAGAGAAAAATGACCAATAAGCATATGTAAAGATGCATATTATTCATCAGAGAAATGCAAATCAAAAACACAATGAGATACACTTCATACCCACTAGAATGGCGATAATCAAAAAGATAGTTAATAACAAATGTTGGCAAAGATGTGTAGAAACTGGAACCCTCATACTCTGCTGGTGGACCACAGTGTATAATAGTGTAGCCACCTTGGAAAACAGTCTGAAAGTTCCTCAAAAAGTGAAACACAGAGATGTCACATGACCCAGCAATTCCATTCCTAGGTATGTACCCAAAAGAATTAAAAACATTTCTACACAAAAACTTATATACAAATGTTCATAGCATCATTATTCATAACAGCCACAAAGTGGAAACAACCCAAATGTCCAACCACTGGTGAATGGATAAGCAAAATGCGGCATATCTGTACAATAGAATATTCAACTGTAAAAAGTAAAATACTGATACATGCTACAACATGGATAAGCCTTGAAAAAAGTATGTTAAGTGAAAGAAGCCATACACAAAGTTCCATATTGTGTTACTCCACTTATATAAAATGTCCAGAATAGACAAATCCACAGAGACACAACGTAGATTGGTGGGGCCGGGCTTTGCACTGGCTGTTCCCTCTGCCTGGAACACTTTCCCACTCCAGGTGTTCCCATGGCTAGCTCCCTCATTTCCAGTATCTGCTTAAATATCACCTTCCCAGAGACGCCTTCCCCGACAGCCTATTGGAAGTCACTCTCCATCAATCAGTGTGCCCTGATCCTGCTTGGAGCTCACATCCCTGTCTGACTTGGCTGTTTACTGTTCATCTGCCTTGTTATCTGCTCCCTCCCCACATCATTTCTATGAGACTGCTGCTCACTGCTGTAGCCACCAATGCGTGGAACTGAGTCTGGCATTCAATAAATATTTGTTGGAATGAAATTGGCCTATCAAATATTTATTTGATTGCCTATGTTCTCTATGTTTATTTTCTCTTTATTTCTCTCTTGCTTTATTTTATTTTATTTTTATTTTTTGGGACAGAGTCTCACTCTGTCACCCAGGCTGGAGTGCAGTGGCACAATCTCGGCTCACTGCAACCTCTGCCTCCCAGATTTAAGAGATTCTCCTGCCTCAGCCTCCCGAGTAGCTGGGACTATAGGTGTGTGCCACCATGCCTGACTAATTTTTGTGTTTTTCAGTAGAGATGGGGTTTCAACATGTTGGCCAGGCTGGTCTCGAACTCCTGACCTCAAGTGATCTGCCCACCTTGGCCTCCCAAAGTGCTGGGATTACAGGCATGAGCCCCCTCTTGCTTTTATAGCATTATTGTTGGGATCTCCCATCCATGTTTTGTCTCCAGGATGTTTTATCTGAGGAAAAGGCTGTGTGTTGTCCACATTTGGACCTGAGTATAAAAGAGGACACGGCACTCCCTGTGGCATGCATGGTGGAGGACAGCATGGTGGAAGCTGCACCAAGAAAGCTTCACAGGATAGTTGAATCTAAGAGCAAGAAACTGGGCTCTGAGGGGTCCGCCACCCCGTCTGTCACAGAGCGCATGTGATCACACAAATCCCCTGAGGAATGCATAAAAAGGTAGATTCTGATTCTGATTGTGTGGGCTGGAGTCTCAGATCTTACACATCTAACCAAGTGATGCTGATGCTGCCAGTCCACAGACCACAGTCTGAGTAACAAGTATGAGATTAAATGCCAGCTTTGGCTCAGGTTCACAATATTTAGATCTAATATGTGGTAATCCAGACAGTATTAATCCATTAATTCTGATAATTCCTGGGCATCTCAGACACTTGGCAGCTGTGGTTTTGTTTGCTCTTTCCTCCTACCTGACAGGCCCTGGCTGGGGAAACTGAAGCCTCACCTCTCGAACCATCCTATGATCAATACTGTCCCCAATGTGTCTCAGCTGCATGGCCAACTTGTGAATTATTTCCTCCTGGTGATGCTTCTGACCAATGCTATGCTCCTTGGGCTGAGAAGGTAGATTATGAT